CATACAAAAAAAGTCAACATCTGTGTCAAATTGTTTGTTAATAAGGACAAAGACTGTTAGGGACCAATCAAGCACGTGAAGGGGGATTACACATTCAAGACAAACAATTATGATTACTAAATTGTTGTCTTTTCCTTATCATGAAAGCTTGAATATTGCAAGTATAATTTCTAATTTCCTAAGTAGACGTTATTACCTTTTTTTCACAAGAAGCTTTTAGCTATTTGATAGCTTGATGCCTTGAATAGAAGTATCAAATTATCATTGTCTTCGACCTTGTGTTGATTTGGTAGTTTTATTGATTTTTTTTTCTCGAATTAACCAAACGAAGGAGGTTTAGGATCCCTCGAAGTGTCCTACCAAAACAACCACCATAGGTCATCAACGCAAAGACAATCCTTGGTCATTACCCGTTGTCAGTGTAGAACCTTGGATATATAAGTTTCTAATGGAATCTCTTCATAAAGAAGATTAAGGGGTTGTGTCACAAAACCATTGTTAAAAGTTAATGAAATATCTGAGTAAAATTAAAGTTTGACTTGTTAAAAATTGATAAAAAGGCTATATAGGGATTTTCTTATGATCTGTTCATATAGAACCTAACTCGGAAATGTATATACATCAGGTCAGGAAAAAAATCACTAACTCAAACCTATTTTGACGGAATATGGGCATACTTTTGATGGACCAATTTCATTTTTCATAATAAAGTGAAAGATTAAGCTGCCGCGAAAAGACTTTAGTAGTAGATTGATAGATCACTTCGAAATGACATATACATCACACGTACTAAATAAAGTAAAATTTCCGGGTATCCACCAAACTAGTCTTTGATGTCCATGAATCCATCAATATTGTGTAACTGAAAAGCATAATCTGAATTGGCGGGTGGAGGGTTTCCCGGATCATGGCCTCGATTGGCTCCAGGGCTATCATAGTCTTGTGTAGTGATCTCCATCTTTAGGCTGTTTTTCTCGTTTCCTTGAAAATCATGCTCTTCACCCATTTTCATGCCCTTTAAAATTCAGAAGATTTAGAATTTTTAGTGAAAAGAGGATTCTATAATGTAATTCAATTATTTGTTTTCGAATGCACAAGCATGAAAATACAGCTACATAAAAATGAAAAACAAAATTGAGAGATAACCTGAGACAATTTGTTTCCGGCTAGTTCTTTTTCATTACTTGGAATTAAACTTCGTCTTGAACCTGGAAAAACACGTAAAAAAATTTGGAAAATATAGAATTTAGTAATTGTGTGATTATACATGATATGGTACATATGAAGAGAGAGAGAGGGGGAGAGAGAGAGAGGAGGAGGAGGAGGAGGAGCAGAGAAATTTTTCAAGAAATAAATATGTACCCTTAAAACTTACTTGATATCGAAAGTGCATTAATCGAAAGAATATGAGTGTA